AATTGAGAATATTTGGTTGCCCATCTTATTATCACAGTAATGAGGGTAAGCTCTCTCCAAGAGCTAAAAGGTGTTTATTTCTAGGATATTCTATGGAGTCAAAAGGCTATCGTTTGGTGTATTGAATCTCACTAGGTTATTAAAAGTAGAGATGTTACATTTAATGAAGATGCCTTATTGTCTTCCAACGATGGTACTTCTCCGTCCCATGATGCAGAAAATCTTGAGACTCCAAGAGACAAGTTGGAGTTCGAACAACAAGTTGATTCACCTACCCATCTATCTTCTCTAGAGTTAAATCCTAGTGAAGTTCAAAATGAGGAAATGCCACCTCAAGTGCCACAAGATTATATCTTGGCTCGAGATCGGCCAAGGAGAGTTATACAAAAACCTGGTCGATACAGAGATGATGAGCTTGTTGCATATGCTCTCGCCGTAGCACACAAAATTTCAGAAGAAATTGAGCCTTCTTCTTTCAAAGAAACTATATCTTGTGTAGATTCATCTAAATGGCTTGCGGCAATGAATGAAGAAAACGAAAGTTTGTTGAAGAATAATACATGGGAATTATATATTCTGCCTACGGTAAGAAAGCACTTTCGAATAAGTGGATATACAAAAAGAAAGAAGGAATTCCCAGTATTGAAGAGGCAAGATGGAGGGCCCGGTTGGTTGTTCCCGGCTGCAACCAACGTGAAGGTATTGATTTCAATGAAATCTTTTCTCCTGTTGTGTGTCACACTTCCATAAGAATTTTGCTCTCTTTTGTTGCTCTCTTTGATTTGGAGTTAGAGCCACTTGATGTGAAAACTACTTTCCTTCATGGTGATCTCGAGGAGGAGATATACAAGACCCGATCTAGAAACTTGAAGTGGATTATATGTCTAGCGTTCCATATTCGAGTGGAGTTGGCATTTTGATGTATGCTATGGTATGTACAAGACCCGATCTAGCATATGCAGTAAGTGTTGTCAGCAGGTATATGCAAAATCCAGGAAAAGAACATTGGAATGTTGTGAAGTGGATACTTTGATATTTGAAGGGAACCCATGATATGGGTCTGTTGTTTGAGAGGAGTGAAAATCCTTCCAACAATATTATAGGCTTCACATATTCTGACTTTGTAGGTGACTTAGATAAACGAAAGTCTCTTTCCGGATATGTTTTCACTCTCTGCAATTCATGTGTTAGCTGAAAATCTTGCTTGCAACCCGTAACTGCTTTGTCAACTACAAAAGCAGAGTATGTTGCTATTTCTTAGGGGGTGAAAGAGGCTATTTGGTCACAAGGCCTGGTAATTGAGCTTGGAGTTGAACAAACTGTTTCAACAATATTTTCGAACAGTCAAAGTGCCATTCACTAGACTAAAAATGACATGTATCATGCGAAGACCAAACATGTAGAAGTCAAGTACCACTTTGTCTGAGATGTTATGATTGCAGGTGATATTAGTGTGAAGAAAGTTCATACTGACAACAATCCTGCAGATATGCTCACTAAAGTTCTTCCTTCAACTAAGTTTGATCGTTGTTTAAACTTAGTTGGAATTCGAAGAGCTTGATTACCTCTCAAAGATTTTTGGACAAGTCTTTTCTAATTTGATTCTATGTGAAGATTGTTGGTATTGACGACTCAAATTAATTCCAAGACTTGGAGTTATGGAAGTCACTTGGGGTTATGGAAATTATTACCACATGGAGTTAATTGTGTGGAGTTTCCCTTGGGTTAATAGAGTGTCGTTCACTTTATCTTTGGCATCTCCTAAGCCATTGTACATGGCTATAAATAGGGAGTCCATTGTTATTGAATGGACACACCGAATTCTGCCAACTCTTTTATTATCCTAATTGTAGAATATCTTTTTTAGTACTTTTCCTTTATGTTGAGAGTTTTTCTACTTACTCCACAACTTTGTACGTTGAAGATTATTCCTTGATCGTAGTGGATTTACTGACTTGTCCAGCCCGTGGTTTTTCTCCCTCCACTTTGGAGGATTTTCCACTTAAATTTAGTGTCTTGTCTTTGTTCATTCTCTTCTCTATATTCTTGTTCGATTTCATATTGGCTTTGCTTCCGCTAGTGCTCATTTAAATCGCCTCAAGCAAGCCATGACCACCACCCCGACCCTCTTGATGCCTGACTTCAAGGAGACCTTTGTGATTGAGGATGACGCGTCCGAGAGGGGCATTGGAGCGGTCCTTTTGAAGCATGGTCACCCGGTAGCCTTCATGAGTTGTACACTAGGACCCACTAAATAAGGGTGGTCCACGTACCAGAAAGAGATGTACGCAATTGTGATGGGTGTACAGACGTGGCGACCCTACCTCATGGGGCTCACCTTTCACATCTACACCGACCAGCAAAGCTTGCGGCATATGCTGGAATAGAGGATCACGATACCAGATCAACATCGGTGGGTGGAAAATTTAATGGGCCATGATTTTAAAGTTCACTACAAGCCCGGGTTGACCAACAAGGCGGCGGATGGTCTTACGAGGGTACGACACGAGGCAAGTTTGGATTCTATATCGGCATCGGAGGTTTAATTTTGGGATGAGCTATGCGACGTAGTCGCGAATAACCCCTACTTACAAGAGGTGCGAGACTAGGCCAATGCTGACGAGTCGGGAGGATACAAGTTCAGGAACAGACTGGTCTTCTTCAGGAAGCGGATCATACTACCGCCAAGGTCTTCCTAGTCACGTCCGTTCTCAAGGACCACCACGATTATGTCCTGTGAAGCCATTCTGGAGTCGAGCGCACTTTGCTGCGGGTTAGTAGTCAGTATTACTGGCCGCAAATGGTACATATCGTGAGAGACTACATCAACGCATGCGACGTGCGTCAGCCAGTAAAAGTCACAGGTCTTGCACCCGCGGGATTACTGCAGCCGCTTCCAGTTCCACATCAGGTTTGCAGGACATTTCCATGGATTTCGTGGAAGAATTGCCGCTCATAGATGGGTGTTCGGTTCTCTTAGTGGTTGTAGACCGGTTGACGAAGTATGGGCATTTCATGGACCTTAGTCATCCCTATTCAGCCAAGACGGCCGCTGAGGTTTTCATAGGAGGAATGGTACGCCATCATGGAGTTCCGACTTTCTATTATAAGTGATGGGGATAAGGTATTCTTGAGTCAATTTTGGCAGGAGATCTTTTCGAGGTTGGGAACGAAGCTAGCTATGAGTACGGTCTACCACCCGCAGACCGACGGACAAACAGAGGTGGTCAATCGCTGTCTGGAACAATATTTGCCTTGTTTCATGCAACAGCAACCGCGTCGATGGGTTCAACTCCTCCCTTGTGCTGAGCTTTGGTATAATTCTACATATCATCGGACTCTTTGCATGGCCCCATTCTAGGCCTTGTATGGTTGAGCTCCGCCCCCGACCGTTCCCTATCCGACAAGTGCGAATCTGGTGGTGGGGGTGGATGAACTACTGCGGGAGCGAGATGAAGCCATTACGCAGCCTCGCCATAAACTCGCGGCCTCTAATCATCGAGCTAAACAGCTCGTCGATGCTAGTAGGAGGGATGTCACGTACGAAGAAGGGAAGTGGGTTTTGTTGCGACTACATCCCTATCGCCAGTCGACGGCATCCCGGAGAGCTACCCAAAAGCTGGCGGCGAGGTATTTCGGGCCGTATCGTGTTCTCAAGAGGATTGCGGAGGATGCATACAAGCTATCCCTTCCGACCACTGCTCGTATTCATCTTGTTTTTCATGTCTCATTGCTGAAGAAGTACGTGGGGGAAGTGAACGACCAACATGTGCCTGAGCCGCCCATGGTGGATAACGGTGATCTGGAACTGACGCCACGATAGGTTCTTGACCACCGCTGGTTGCGTTGGGCCGGGCAAGTTCTGGAGGAGTGTCTCGTGCAGTGGCAACATCTACCTGTGGAGGAAGTTGCGAGGGAGGAAGAGCAGATGATCCGAGACCACTTCTCAAACTTTCGCCTTGAGGGCAAGATCGAGCTTCAGGGGGGCAATGATGTGTATAAAGCTGTTCCGCGTCGTCTGCCCGCGAACCCAAGCCCAATGCCAAGTATTGCAAGTAGTTCGGGTGGCATGAGTGTTTTGATTTCCTTTTCGGTTCGGTTATTATCTTGTTGTTTTCCTTTCTTGTTGGACACGTTAATTGTAAGGACTCCCTATAAGTACCAGTCATTATGGAATAAGAGAAGTAGAAGAAAATCCCTAAAAACCCTAGTTTCTCCTCTCTCTAATTTCTTTAACGCGACGTTAATGCATCATACATGTTTAGAAGAAGGTTGTCAAACCACTATCAGACTGACCGATTGGACCTGAAGCGACCATGAAATGGTTTCCATCGTGTCATTTTGGTGGTAGCCAATATCCGATCAAAATCGATGGTCGGACCACTTTTCTGGTTTCCGATCCATGACCAAAATGTTGTCGTTTTGGAATGGAATGACCGAATGCAAGGGTCTTAATGGGTCATATATGTAGTTGAGTAAATTTCATGGGTTAATTGCAAGTTTGGTCACTGAGATTACAGAAAACGTTCACGTTTGGTCACTGAAAACGTTCAAGTTTGGTCACGAATAGAATTAAATATTTCCAGTGACCAAATATGAACATTTTTAGTAATTTGAGTGACGACCTTGCAATTAACCCAAAATTTCATTTTAGTCATTGCTCAAATAGCATGGACTCCTATCAAATCATTTAATCTCAAACCAATTGTTTGGGCCTACCCTACCCTCATCTACACCAGCTCCTACAAAGTGAAGGGAATGAACACCATCACCCCCACCCCCATCAACCTTTTGTTGTTCTCTGCTTTCATATATATACTTTGAGGCCCTTCAAATCACAAGTCTGACATCTAACAAGACTGATGGTTAGAATCCAGGCGTACATTCTTGTCACACCAGTAATGCAAGAAGAAAATCCAATAAATATAGCACCTTCAGACGAAGCAAGACCCGCTGATGAAAGCAGAGGAGGCGGGCAAGGAAGCAAGCAATCTGAGCTTATGCAAGGATTCACAGAAGATATGAACGCAAGGATTCGCAGAAGATAGGGCTGAAGCTTATACAAGTAGTAGTTTACTCTGGATCTGGTAGCTTAAAAATGGAAGACCAATCTCATGTTTCCCAAGGAAGAGAGTTCATGATTCTAAAACCTTTAACAGCCTGCTTTTTATAAAGGGCACATCCAGCTGAAAGAGGATTACATAGGTGGACGACAAACGAAGTAAACTATGCATCTCTTGCAAGACAAAAGAATCACGGATATACGCATCATACACACAAGCATCCAGGATCATTTTGTGCTGCAACCTTTATGAGGAGACAGACTTTCACGCATAGGTAAGTAACTTGGCAAACCAGGGTTTTGCTGCAATTGTAGTACCTGAAATCTAACCGTGAACTAGCTTAGCTTATAGCTTGAGGGCTTGGCTTCAGAGGACACCAAAAATACGCATCTTGGCACTAAACTATGGGCGGTTCTCGCTCTCTCTCGCTCCCCTTCTGCTGTACATTGTCTTTATAAACCAACCTGCCCTAGATAAGATGAAGCTTTCCATCAGAATTCAGAATTGAGGCAATTGTACAGAAGTTAGACCACGTTTTAATAAAACTTTATATGCTGTCTGCTTACCCTGAATGAATTGCACCAACCAGTAGTCTATTTAGAAAGCGTGGCAGGTAAAGCAGCCGCTTAGCGTACCCATCTGACGGGTTCTGCGGAAGGATACAGTCTTGTCAGAAGACGTCCTTGAAACTTGGCGAGCCTGGTCGGATAGAACAGAACTTCTCATGCCTTGGGCTCTCTTCTGTGCCGATCTCAGCTTGTTCATTATCTTGTCCATGGATGAAGACCTCTTCTTCTCAAGCTTCATCTAAAAATTGAAATGCAGTTTTTTAGTTAGTGGTCACCCCGTGAGGCAAGCTTGACCTGACATTGTAAGAAAATTATCTGGGGAAGAAAACAAACCTCAAGCTTTCTTATCGCAGCTTCAGCTTTGGCCTTCTGCAGGCTCTCCCATGCTGAGATTTTGGCTTCCTCTCTTTGGGCTCTGGCGAACAGTAAGAAACTAAACTGTTTAGAATTCTATAGCAAATGGAAGTGCAATCTCTAAATTCACTGGCCTCACTGGAATACTCACTTCGAAATGCTTTTAGCGGTATCTGAAATATCCCAAGCTGATGAACGACAATCAGCAACTTTCTTTCTCCAATCATCAACGCTTTCAGAGCCCTTACTATGGTTGCTTCGGCCCCTATGCTTTCTTGACCACCTCGTAACAGTGACCCTTTCATCTACCTCCACATCCCTAACATCTGATTTAGAGGACCGGGCACTTTGCACTTCCACGATAGGCAAATTAGCAGAGGAAGGAGTGGAAGCCATGAACGACACCCTTTTGCTTGGAGATGAATGGTTGCTGCTTGCAGGGCTCATTTGAGTTGCCATGTCTCGTCTTGAAACAGCACGGGATACATCAGCAGCAGCATCTTTCACACTATCTACTCTACTATCCTCTGTACATTTTAAGATCATAAAGCAAGAGACAACGATTCAGTAAATGCACAACAAGATGCATACAAAATGCCTATCTCTAATCACCAAAGATGTGTGTATAGCAAGTGCCGTGATCTTGGTTTGGTTCGATTTGGGAGTTACCATCTTCGTAAATTTCAATTGCACAAGAGGATGAAAGGGGGGTGAAATTGAAAGCATACCTTGATTAGCCAAGGAGTTATTATGATTAAACGTCTCAGAGCAGCCATGGACGCTAACAGAACGAGCCATGCAAGGCTCTAAGCGAAGAGGGAAGGCAACTCTCTGGCCATTAGAACGAGAAGCAAATCCATCAGCAGCAATTACACCGGCGGAGAAGGGAGAACCAACCGTGAAATTCTTCAGATTCCCGCCGTCAATTACAGGAACCGCCGGTGAATATAGCGAATAATAAGCAACGCCGGGAGGTCCCAACGGCCCGCTCTTGGACTTGGGTTTTCTTTGAGGCTGCTGAACCGACGTCCTGACAATACCATCACCAGAGACGGGGCTAAAAATCCACCGCTCGGCGTCCTCCCATTTCGATGGCAGAGTCCTCCCGTTATTGAAAGGGAACATCACGCCACCGCCGCCGCCGCTCTGGCGTCTATTGCTGCCGGCATGCAGCGGCACTCTCTCCGAACTCCAACCTTTCTGCATCAATCCGACGCTTGCGTGGCGGTAGTTGGGGGTTCCGGGGCTAGGAAACGTCCCGGACTTGCGAGAAGACGAGAGCGAGCTCTTAACCACGGCGGCAGCTAATCGCGGCGAGGAAGCGGGGACGACATTGTTCAAATCTAGCGAAGCAGGTCTTCTTCTGTCGGCCTTCTTCGTGACAGCTTCAGATCTGGATCTCCGATCTTGACACTCTGCCGCAACGAAACAAAAAGCTCTGAATCAGAGAGAACCGCAAATGCGAGCCAAAATGAAAAAACCTTATAGGAAAGAGGAGCTCCCCTGATGTACCTTTGAGAGCGAGAGAGAAGGAGCTCCTAGCTGAATCCAGCAAGTGACTCTCGGCCTCTTGTGCAGAAATAATAGCAGCTGTGTCGCAGTTGTGGTTATTGTCCTTTTGTTGAGCTGCTGCATTTGATTGGAAAAGGAAAGCAGAAAACAGTAGCGCAAAAGATCAAACATGTGGCGTGCATTTTCGAATTCACACCAAAAGGAAATAAAAATCCCCCTCCTAACATCTATCTTTGTCTGTTCTCGTTTGGTTGCTTTCGGCCTTTCTTTCACTTGCTAGCTACTTTCCATCCGTTTACTCGGAAAAGGTTAAAAAGAAATCTCGTCGTCAAGCAGATGGAGAGAGTACCTTTCACTTTTTCTCCCTTCCTGGACGACGAAAGCCGAGCGGCCTCACCGCCGGCGAGCTTGTTCTGGTTGGTCTGTAGCACACCGGCCTTGCTTGGATCTGGATCTCGCCGGTGATCTGGACCGCTCCAGCTGTCCAGCTGCTGTTCGAGCTCACCTCCTCCACTCACTGCCAAATGCTGCATCGGAGAAAACGGATTCAGCCTCTAGGAAACGAAGGAGAAGTAGTAGATTGAGTTAGTCGTTAATCACCAGTGAGAAGTCGGAGGCGGGGGAGTCGTTATCGTGAGCGTCGGAGGCGAAGGAGCAGCGGTCGACGCTGGCGGAGGCGGAGGAGAAGATGCTGAAGTTGGAGGAGTCCTGCGTGAAGATGACGGAGTCGGGGCTGGCGTCTCGGGCGCTGAACACGGCGGCGGAGGCGGAGGAATGCTGGAGGTGGAGAGAAGGTTGTGCAGCTGCTGCTAGCTCCGGCATTTTTCTGATCTGCGAGGAGGATTTAAGCTTTCTTATTATGCTGCTGTGTTGCTTTCTTCTTGCTTTCACATTCTAAAGAGATCGAGAGAGGGACGGAGCGAAGAAACCGGAAAGCGAGATGGGGGTGTGTGACAGTGAGAATGATGGATTTGGATTTGCAAAAGATTCCGGTCGTCCGTTGATTTTGGCTTGTGGAGGATGCGACGAGTACGAGCGTGACCGGGAGAGGGAATTATTTTTTTCTTTGTGCGGGGAGGAGGGTCATTATTATTGAGACAACAGACCACATGAATAAGACAATTTAATTAATGATTTAATTCAATTTTCTTTTCAGAGGAAAAAATTATATGAATTAATTTACTTTCTCGGCGTAAATTATTTCTTCCCAAAAATGTTATATTCGTGGATTTCTACGAAGCTGTTCCCGCCACGTCAGCATATTAACCGGACTCGGTTGACCGTAGACGGGGACCGTCAATTGACTGCGATTGGTAGAAAAGAGAGGGGAAGGGAAGGAAATGACAGTAGGGTCCCGCGATAATAAGCTTGGTCCCTCGGCGCTCGCGCGTCTAGGTGTTAATACTTAATACTCGGATTATACTGGTAAAACATAGGAATTAGAAGTATTGCTATTAATTAATATGTTAATTAAATATCGGATCTTGCATGCGTTTATTTAGTAAAAATGTTGCTGTGTACGAATATATGATTCTGAATATTATGAATTAAGATGTAAAGACTATCTCCAATAGAAGAGTTAAAAGAAACAAAAAGATCATATTTTGATGTCAATAAATTAACGAATGTGAATCGTGTCAGAAGTTATGCAAGAAAATTTAATGGTAGGATATTATGAATTAAAATCGTAGTTGAACCGTTTCATATTGTTAAAATAGTTTACTGTTTGAAATTTTGTATCTAATATTTATGGTCCGACCGACCGATAAAGGGTTTCCTTAACATTGCGATAAACCAGTGTCTTAGAAGTGATAATTTGTCTTATGATCAAATTTGGTTCCCAACGATTGAAGTTCGGATTCTCGATGTGTTATGTTTTTGTGATTGATGATGTCATATGTATTTATATGCTATCCGGGAGCCTCACGAGCAAGTGGGTCGTGCCACTGCAAGCACCTTCAGTCGCTGCAGAAGTTTCAAGAATAGGATCAACCAGGCTGACTTATTGACCTAGGTTTCTCCAGACCGTGTTATATGTGGACCAGAGGGGATTTGCCTAATTCTTATAAAGCGAGCATAATAGATAGAAGTCTTTGTAACTCGCTCTGGAATAATGCCTTCCCGGACACCTCGATTCAGCATCTCCCCCGACTTCATTCGGACCACCACCCTGTCCTAACTACTACAGGAAACCAGGGAGTCCTCTTTAATCCTCGTCCTTTTAGATTTGAAGGAGCTTGGCTCTCCCATGACTCTTATGATGATATGTTGGCAGGTAACTGGGATAATCAAGTCCCTCTCCCAGAGGCCCTCCACGATTTGGCAGAAAAACTTATGTCCTGGAACCAAACCACTTTTGGGAACATCTTCTGCAAGAAAAGAAGACTCCTAAATCGCATCCAGGGAATCCAAAGTCGGTTGTCCAATGTTTTCTCCCCGGGGCTCTTTAAACTGCAGGCAAAGTTGGAAGCTGAGCTGGATAGAGTGCTTGAGAAAGAGGAAATGCTTTGGTTTCAACGAGCAAGGGAAAAATGGGTGCAGTTCGGCGAAAGGAACACCTCCTACTTCCATCAACAATCCAATATCTGGCGAAGGAGGAACAAGATCGAGTGCCTCAAAACAGCAAACTGAGACTGGATATCAGACCCCCAGGCCCTCGCTTTGCTTGTTTTTGATTTGTTTGCAGCCTTATACTTGTAGGACAGCCATGATTACACAGATCACACACGCCAAAGCAGGCGTTCCCAAGGATCTCTCAAGAGGACCTTCTCCTCCTCTTGCGCCCATTCAACGGTGCTGACATCTGCAATGCTATTCACGAGATGAAACCGTTCCAAGCACCGGAGCCGGATGGATTCCATGCAGCCTTCTTTCAACGGTCATGGTCGGTGGTAGGTAGTAAGTTGATTAACATGGCTATGAATTTCTTTTCCACAGGTACTCTCCCGGAGAAGGTGATGGAGTCTAGGGATGGCAATCAAACCCATGGCCGCGGGTACCCGACCGCCCCATACCCAGTCAACGCGGGGAATCCCCGCTTTGACCGGGTATGGGGCGGGTATGGGTAAAACCCGCAAAAGGTTTGATGGGTATGGGGCGGGTATGGTTTTAGCCTCCCCCGCCCCATACCCATACCCATACCCGCCCCACCAAGAGAATTTCTTCACATATCAAAAAATACGTGGATTAAATTGTAATCTATCAATGATGATGATAACTCGAGAAAATAAATAGTAGAAATGCAATTGAGTAACCACCTTAATCAAAACCTAATTCATTTCCCTCAATTCTCCTTCCACTCTTTCACTTTCCCCCTTGTCAACAAAATTATGTTAGTTAATTATTACTTAGTAAATGTATCAAGAGTTAGAGCATAATAATTTAAAAAATATTATAGTCTATATTATGTATTAATGGATGTTTTAGGATCATATTCTTTGAATCGTATTTAGAAAATGACCGTGTTTTGTTGACTTCGTGATATAATAGGTTTGTTTATGGTTATAATTAAAACTTTTCTTGTAAGTTTTAGGTATAATAATGTTGGATGTACGGGGATGGGTATTACCCATGGGTACCCGAAACCCACGGGTATGGGGATGAGTTTGCAAAACATTCCCCTGCATGGGTATGGGGCGGGTATGGGTTTGGGTATTTGAAGATGGGGATGGGGATGGTTTAGGCAAACCCGCCCCAAACCCGCCCCATTGCCATCCCTAATGGAGTCCACTATAGTGCTGATACCGAAAGTTGAACACCCAGAGATGGTCTCTCAACTTCGGCCCATCTCACTCAACAATGTGTGTCTTAAAGCCATCACCAACCGCCTAAAGCCCATTATGATAAATCAAGTCTCTCCCCGCCGGAGCAGCTTTATCCTAGGAAGACAGACCACGGACAACATCATTGTGCTACAGGAAGTCCTTCACTCTCTCCGGAAAAGGAAAGGCAGGAGGGGAGGAATTTTTCTCAAGATCGACCTCGAGAAGGCCTATGACAGGCTTTGCTGGGACTTTTTAAGAGACACTCTCATCGAGATAGGGCTCCCGAGTTCCTGGATTAGCGGGATCATGTTTTGTGTGGAAAACAATCGCATGCGCCTGCTTTGGAACGAAGAACTCTCATATCCAATCACGCCGACTAGAGGAGTCTGCCAGGGAGACCCCCTTTCCCCCTATCTTTTTGTTTTGTGTATGGAACGGTTATCTCACATAATTAATTAATATGTTAATTAAATATCGTATTTTGCATGCATTTATTTAGTAAAATTTTTGCTGTGTACGAATATATGATTCTGAATATTATGAATTAAGATGTAAGACTATCTCCAATAGAAGAGTTAAAAGAAACAAAAAGATCATATTTTGATCTCAATAAATTAACGATTGTGAATCGTGTCAAAAGTTACGCAAGAAAATTTAACGGTAGGATATTATGAATTAAAATCGTAGTTGAACATTTTCATATTGTTAAAATAGCTTACTGTTTGGAATTTTGTATCTAATATTTCCGGTCTGACCGACCGATAAAAGATTTCCTTAACATTGCGATAAACCAATGTCTTAAGTGTCTTAGAAGTGATAATTTGTCTTATGATCGAATTGGGATTAGAGGTGGCAATTGGATCGGATTCGTGGATTCGTGGATTGGATTGGTGGATCCATGGATCAAATGGATTGGATCCAATGGATTGGTGGATTCATGGATTGGATAAAATGGATTGGTGGATTGATCCATGAATCCAAATGACATCCAAGGCTTGGACCAAAATGTAAAATTTGAAAAGTTTTGGTACTAAAATGCCATAATGAAAAATTTTAGGTACCAAAATGTAATTTTCCAATGATATTTTTCGTATAAAAATATAAATTTTAGGTACGAAAATGTAAAATATAAAAAATATAGGTACCAAATCGTAATTTGTCATTTGGATCCATGGATTGATCCATGAATCCACCAATCCAATTGGATTTGGATCAAATGGATTGGATTTAAATGGATTGGATTAGGTGGATAATTTGGTGGATGGATTGGATTGGATTCATGGATTTGGATCCTAATTGCCACCTCTAATTGGGATCCCAACGATTAAAGTTCGGATTCTCGATGTGTTATGTTTTTGTGATTGATAATGTCATATGTATTTATAGACGGAAAAAGTTGTGTGAAAGTTAATAACAGTATATATCAAAGTATACATTTTAATCACTAGTTATATAAAAATAACCATCGAATTATCTGAATAAAACACTCAACTAATTTTGTTCAAAGCTTTTTTTCTTTTTCATTATATCATTTGTCATTTTGCAACTCTCCTATTGGAGATGGCGTAAGTGCGAAGAACATAGCCGAAAGGGTCCCAGATAGTCAGACAAGGCGGGGGGCAACATTGACATTTGCGTTATTGATCTTCGTTCTTGCTCTTTCGTCTTCTTTGTCCAGAAGCGGTGGCATCTCTGCATGAATGATGATAAGTGGCGCGGGGGCAATAGAAAAATCTGTGAAAATTGAAGACAGGTTTTGGGAGGACATACGGCATTTCATGTCGGGGAGAGAAGAAATAATTTGAGGGGCGGTGTCCGTTATGCACTGATGTGATTTCTTTTCTGTTATTTCTGGGGTATGCTGTTTTTTTTTTTTTTTTTACCGTTACGGAGAAGATGACAACGGAACGGATGAAACTGAGCCTGGTGATGCAAAATAATAATACACCAAACTGAATAATACACCAAACTTGGGTTGGAGAGTGCTTAGCGAAGGTTTTGTTTGGATTTTGCGTGGGAAATTTCCTCTTTTCAAATTAGTTGTTCAAACAACGGCTGGGTCTATATGGATGGGCGGGCTATTTAAGCAGTTAAATAATTGGTTCAAAAGAAAGGATAGGGATGTGTTAGTTCTATAGACTAATTAATAATTATATATTGGGGTTTAGTTTTTTGAAAGCCATAGGTTGGTTAATGGAACAAAACTAATCGCATTTGGAATGCAATGTTTTATTCATAATATAATAATTCATGTCCGTCCGTCGAGGTAATGTATGTAATTATCTATTTTATATTACGTGATTTTCTTTTTAATCGAGTTTCCAACCTCTTTGTGTACGCCATAAAAAAGGAAAAGAGTAAAATATTGTCCATCTCTCTCTATCTCGTCCTTCCAATTTGATTGTGTTCGTTCCCCCATCACACCCTTTGAACTGATATTAGAGTCTGTCTAGTTTTTTCCATCAATAAAAGATTAGAGCTATAACTAGTTCAAATTAAAGGCGAGGCAACAATGATGATGCCATGTAATAATTATAATGATGTGAATCCCGGGAAAAAGAGAGAGTGGCAGTGGCAGTAACGCATTTTTTTGCTTTCACAGAACCCCAAGATAATGGGCGACAACATTTGATTATTAACTGGGGGGGCACAAATTATAGGCTTCCTCCGGATTAGCCTCTCTCGTGCTTGTTGCATAATCCTCCTTTTAAACCCCTACTTATCTTTGGTTAATTACTTGTGCTGTAAATTAACATAGCAATAGGGATGGCGACGGCCCAATTTGAGGCGGTTATCACTAAACACACGCTTTGTCCCGCCCTGTCCCATGCTCTGTGATCGGTTTGATTGATTTCGTCCAATTTTCATCCTACCATGTTTATGATGTTGAGCAGCTAGTGTCGTCGTCAGAATTGCCACCATCCCATTGCTTCCAACGATGGTTGATGTTCATGTTCTCCCATTTCTCAAAACATATCAACCAATGGGTTAATTGAATATATGATGATGTCGGCCAAGGAAAGGAAGGCAATCCAAAACAGCAAGGTGAGAAATATTCAGAGTTTGACAAACAGATACATATAATTCGTATGAGGCGGAACAAGACGGGACGACAGCTATACCCATGCCTACCCTGTTTTATGTATCGATCGGATTAAGACCCTCCACATTCTAGCACGAGTCGAGTTTTATTCACCCCATTACGAAATGGCGTGGGAAATACCCATTGAGGTGGATCTGAATTACCACCACTACAAAGCAACTAACAAAAAAAAATAATAATAACAATCATCTTATTACAACCTAATTACACATGTCTCCGCCATGGAAAGTGGAGGTACAATCGCTAGCATAGCATAGCATAGCATTGAGAGTTCTTTATAACCGATCTCGTGCCAGCGTGAGAATGATCAAAAGGCACGTGCCGTGCCCCCTCTTTTCTCTTTCGAATCGGAGGATCAATTTGTAATTTTGTAGATTAGCAATTCCTTTCTGACACATGCATGCAAATGCAAATCACGAAACCAACCACCCTGGATCCCTCTGTATAGAATAAGATGCGTGCCTAGAGTTGTTCGTTATAGTCTAGGGCCGGCTATCCTTCTATATAGATATGCTAATAAGATCGGTCACTAATATAATTAGCTGTTAAAAGAGGTTTAGCGTTGATTTCCAGTCCAGCCCAGTTGTTGAAAGTCAAAACACATGTAATTATTCCACTTCATAGCAGCTGCTGCTGCTTTGTACCTGTCCACCGTGCTCCCAGATTGAATGAAATGCGATTGTCAGCAGGTGGAAGGAATCAAAACTCTTCTCACTTATACACAACAAGATTGTAATCCTGGCGTTAAGTTCTCAAGTCAAGACTTATTCGAGTGGGATTTCACATTTGAATCTACCCTTTCACAAAGATTCTTCTCAAATTACCATTGAATCCAACTAAAAAAACAAGATGAAAGGTAACAAAATTTATGGCTGAAACTAGGCCTGAACCGTTGCTAACCCTATAAGAACCCTGTCTTGCCCGTCGCTGCAGGGCCAATTTATAAAACTTAGGCCCTGTTCACTTCCATTTTCGTTTCCTGTTTTCTGTTTTCATGTGATAAATTTGGCAACCGAAATGAGAAAACTTGTTTACTTTTCATTCTGTTTTCTATTCGTTTCCAACTATGAAAACAGAAAGTGGCAACTTCCTGCTGTTTTTGGAAACGACAAAATGTTGTTTTCACCTGTTTTCAACATCTGTTTTCTCAAAAACAGGAAACAGAAATGAAAGTAAACAGGCCCTTACTAGCTCTCCTGTTTCCTTATTCTGTCTGAGCCTCAAGAATTAGGACCAGCCGGTGAGTCGGCTCAAATCAATACAGAGATTTTTTAAAATTATATTTTAGTAGCCAAATTTATGTTTTCTTACAATGTAGTACCTATTTTTTTCTTTTTTACAAATTAGGTCTATAAATATTGGTGATAAAGTTACACTTTTATCACATTTGTATCATTTTAGTTTGCAATTATAGTACTTAAAGTGACCCGGTACCAAGTTGACCCAATCCTACCCAGACATTACAAGGTTAAAAAATGACCAGACTCTAAACTGACCTTGTAAACAAACGGACGCAACCCAATCCTCATCGTTCAGTCGGGTCAGTAGGTATCTAAGAATTTGCATAATGAACTGACCCACCAATAGAAATTTCAAAAAGAGTAGCAGCCGGTGCCGGCCAGGTTGTCTTTCATAATGAACTGACCCAACCCAACCTCAGCCTCAGGTCGTTTTCAGGATTCAATTTCCTAACAAGACCCTCGCACCACACCACACACAAAAACAGAGAGGCCCTGACAAATGTTTGATTTCTCCAAACAGAAACAGAGCACAATCAAATGTGTATCCATCCGTTTCAGCTTCATAACCAAATGCTCCAACCACTGCATTCATAGCTTAGCTGCTTTTCTTTCGCCTCCGTAACCATTGGTTACCAATGTGATAACTGCTTATTTTATGCTGCCTATCACTATACCTAAATATGGAAACAGAGGGTAAAAGGTCAAAGTTCAGAACTTATTGAAGCCCAGAAGGTAGATGGTCCCTATTTAGCTTAAAGGGTTAGTTGACCATCAAAGCTCCAACCCTTAATCCCAACCCAAAAGGAAAACTACACTAATGTCAACCTTTTGATTAGCGACCCACATGCAAGTTGCAACACAGAGGAAGCTGTCAGAATAGATGGGGTAGCTGTACAACTTCGAGCTACAGAAAATCTTCAACTAACTAGTACTAAACTAGAGGGAGGCACTAGGAATTATAAAAACAACTTGGCAACTGCTTAATAAGAGTAGAAGATGTAGCTAATTTAGGTGGGAATTTAAACACTTGTTGTACCTGCTACGATGATACGTTGACGTCCTCCTTCCTTGCTTCCTCTACCAGCCTGCCTGGCATTGACATTCTGATTAAAGAAGCTTCATAAGAAACTCAAACAGAGAAGTCATAACAAAATCGTATGGGTATATACACCCACCTAATTGGTTTGCTTGTTAATCTGAACAATGATGAATTTCTAAAGTTGGCTGCTTTCCAAGAATTTGGTTTGAGCACGAGTTTTCGTTACAACCAGTACGACAGCAGCTTCTCACACAAGTCCATAAGTTACCAAAGCTACTAGCCTACTACCACTGGTATTCACCTTCAGCCGCTACTTGTTAAATGTTATGCTTAGATATAATGGCAAATTTGGAGGTGTATCCTCGAAAGTCAGTGCTAAATCAAGTGGGGTTTTATCGTCCATGAACTGCTGTGTCGCGGAAGTAAGCTGTTACTGCTTTCAACCTGCCATTCAAGAAGTTCTTCTCTACCTGGAACCATGGCAAAATACTTTAGTAAAGAGAACAAACTGTAATATGGTTTCTTCCTACATCAAGAAATACTAAGCCGAGGGAAACTGGAAAGTGAAGCAAAGTGGGGGGAAAAGGTGATGATGTATGTACCTCTAAAGACCAAGGAGGATTAGCAGATAGAGCCAACTCGGCCAACTGATCTAGATCGACATTTTTTGGGAGGAACATTAGAATTTTTGGCGCAAGTTGCTTTGCAGTGTTGAAGAGAATATACCTGTATAAGTACACTGAAGATCAGAGAGGATAAAGAGCTACTTGAGTATAGGGACAGAAAAAGTTCTAAATAAGATAATACCCGTCGTGTGGTTTAAGCATATTGATGTCATAAGTCTCAATTTTAACATAATCCGGGCCACCCCAAGGTGGCGACAGAAACACAGTGTCAGCCAGTCCCTGCAAAAGAGAAAGGTATCACATAGGGTAGTAGCAGACTGGGAAACCACACATGAATATGAAAATAACTAAATTCAAATGAGAATGCACGGATGCAAGTGAAATAGCAAATGTAACACATTATCTATACGCTGTTATAACAACCAGTGCCACAGTTCTTTCTTGATATAAGAAGATACAGCCCCCTGCTCCCTTACAAAAGAAGTCAACAATTATTGAACACTCATCAAAGCAAGTGCACAAATCCTCAAGCAGCAGAGATGAATCATGAAAGTCTAACCTCACAAGAATCGGGAAAAGGAGGAAACAAAAAAAAAATGACTAGAAGTAATTTTCATGTGGAAGCCAGAATTACCCTGAAACTTTAAGGTTTATAGAGGTAAAACTGTGTAGAAATAAAACACATTATATATCCATATCTTACCATACAAGCCAGAAAGCCAAACTTGTTAATGTGCATAAAGTTATGGTTTTACTACCTTCAGTTTTGGTGCCAAATTGAAGAAGTCCCCCTTTATGAAATCTATATGGTCATCAACTTCATAGATAGTAGCATTGTGATGGGCATAGTCCATCTTTTGTGGATCTATATCAATTGCAATAACATGTTGGCACCTGAAATATACAAAAAAAAAAAAAAAATAATCACACATCAACAAGAGCGCCAGAAGTCAGATACATATCTAATAAACCTTCGTCAGTTAAAGTAAGGAGATCTTATATTCTGAGAAATCCTAAAAGGCCAACACATATCAGTGCATAGTTCTCCAGATAATTGCCATAACTTGTGAAACAAATGAGAAGAGGATAATCTTACAGCATTACAGAATTCCATCAATTAAAAGTAACTTCACAATAAAGAGACGAGGAGAACAAAGCACCAACCATTGAGCAAATTGGATAGCATTTCCACCAACTCCTGCGAAGCAGTCAATAACAATGTCATCAACACAATGCAGAGCATGATGCCCAGCTATTAGCTCAGGTGTTACAGAAAACCACCCTTCCTCATCCATTCTTATACCGTCATCAAATCTAGAGAATAGAAGGTATCGCTGACACCAGTACTTCTCAAGAGAGGCAGAAAGCTCCTCCGGAACAACTTGACTTTGGAGATCTGTTCAAAGCAAACCAGTGATCATAAGAAGACTGAATGACCAAGACATGACACCACTCATACAAAGTATTGAACTGATAAGTCACACAACCACCTCAACTTATTTCGAACATAGACCTCCATATCGTTTTACTTTATTCACATTTCATTATGACACGAATGAAAAATCTGAACTTTGGTCTTGGCAAGTAACGAAAGCTGTGTGGTCAGTCTAGGCACTAATTGCAATTAGCAAAAGTAACTTTTCATAAGCCAGGAATACGGAATTTGTGGATTAAAAACACATGCTGAATACAGGATTACCGACCTATTTAAGTGCAGTTACAGTATTAAAACCAATGTCACTACAGACAACATTTCTTTTACAGGCAATTGAATTGTTTATACAATGAATCAGAAGAAGAACAGGAATTGGTAGAAACTAACAGGAATTGGTAGAAACTGAAACAAACAGGGGGGGGAGAGAAAGAGAGAGAGAAAGGCAATTGACCTTCACTATCCTTGGAAGATCTACATCGTGTTCTCTTCCTTCTTCCTTTCCTATGTCTTTTGATAACAAGAAAATCAGGTTCGGTATCCGGCTCATCATTCTCAGTGTTTTTATGTTCCTTATGCTTAACAACATCCACAGTGAGATCATCGTTGATCACACTAGCAAGGTTGAAAACAAGACAGATGTCAGCATTTTTTCCCCGTAGAAGACATGCTGATAATTGTAGCAATTAGCATTCATCCTAGCTTCTTAGAGATAATTGCAATAACACTATAACAGTGGTAACTAGATAACTATAGCTTAACCCTGATATGAAATCAAGGCTCCCAAAATGAGATAAACCACAAAGATATGTATTACCTGTTAATATTGCCATGCTCCTCCAAAGCCGTTTGCTGGGGAATATCACCAAGACAATCTTTATCATTGCCCTCCTGTTCGCCTGCATTCTCCAAACAGCCATTGATGGTCGAGAAAGTCAAGCTTAGCAAAGTGCTTTCAGAAGCAAGTCCATCCCCATCACAGACCTCATTGGATGGCTGATCTGCTATTCTACTATCATTAGCAGGTTTCTCAAATGATCCAGAACACTTCAACAAGCCACAGGAAACAGAAGGATCACCGTCTATCCCATAGTCTCCAACAATCACGTCATCTGACAGATTAGTACGACTAATGCATACAAGATGCTCCATTCCAGGGGGTGGGGACCATGTAGAGTTATTTGTTTTTGCATTATAGAAGTAATTCCTCATGTAGAAAGAATCCCAGTATACCGCCCAATCCCCAAAAGCACCATTCTGGTCATGACTCTCTATCCCATTATCTCCAAGCACTTCTGAACCCTGGGGCACTGCAGCCATAGAAAATTCAGGCCACTCCATGTGGTTCTCGCACTCTTGAAGATTGTGAACAACAGGGTAGTCATGTAGGCAATCCTTCTCCATCAAATCGACAACTTCTTTCGGGCCATCAACCATGTCTGGAGTCGCTGCATCTGAACCGCCCGAAATTGTATTCTTTTCATCATAGTCATCGTTAGTCATGTAAATAGTTCCTGATAGAGTCAGACCCCTCTCACATTCACCACACTGATCAGCAAACATTGGCTCGGGAGGAACCTTAGTTGGACTCTCGGAATCTTCAATACATAGATCTTTAGAATTGCTGGTATCCACAGAAACATCATAGTAACATGACTCACTCGTGCCCAGCATTGATATGCAACATATAGAATTGCTTTCGTTATCATGCAAAACAGTAGGAGATACAGTCCCTGCTTCACTCACTTTGGAAACTTTCAATGATTCATTAGCAGTGGTGTCATGATTGTGAGCATGCTTCATAACCGCCCCTTTTCTTTTGCCTTTGTTGGTCTTATTCTTTATCTGCCAGTGCCAGCAACGAAATGGAACTAATCTTCAGTTGTAGGAAATAACAAGCTTTGATAGCAGTAACGGTAAAAGTTCATTATTTCTAAAGAACACTATTGGAAGCTGACACCAGCATGGATGCCCCCTATGCCATTCCAGAAATCCAGACCTAAGTTCCCCGCTTCAACCATTTGGTAAGATGGTAACACAGGATTTATTCAAAATTCCCCACAACAATCTACAGGTAATCCACCTACAAAGCTGAAAACTTCCCAGCATGTTTATGGAGCCCCATCTATATGCATTACAGGTAGCTAACTATCTCTAAAGGTTAATCTCGATAGTATACCTTTTTATTCGACTGGAAAGCAAGGGGAAGCCCTAGAGCATCCATTTGTTTGCTCAATTCGTCATCCTCCGTGGAAGGGCCAAAATCTGAACAAAGAAAAGACCAATGAAATAACACCATCTCAGAGACAAATCGTCGAACAGTTCATTCACCAAGAATGCATTAAAGACAAAGCGTGAAAAATCTCCCAAAATGTTCCCCACCCTTACTACAAGTCTACAACAGTACAACTACATAACATACCAGTAGCAACTGCAGGACTATCGGAGGTGGTATCGTCCTTCTCTGGAGGCGATTCCTGTGTCCCAAGGACCCAAGCAAACAAAAAATATAAAGAACTCATCGCCGTCAATTACCAGAACACACAAAAAATTCCAAATTGCCGCCGAAACTGAAACCAGAAGCTCAACAGACACGAGGTAACTCACAATGGATTCCGGGAATATGGACACTTCTACCGTCTCCGTTGAGCCGTCGTCCCTGCACAGAGAAGTCGATATTCGATTAAAGCGAAGCATGAAACGGTAAGTTTTCCGGGGAAGAATTCACAGAAAGGGAAAACGGAGGAGGGTAACCATATGTAGACTTCAGTAAGCTTGAACAGGGATCCGAGAGCTCGAATAGCTTGGAAGCTTGACCTTCCTTCTTCACCTTCCTCCATCGCTGTCGGCGACGGCGACGGCAGCTCAAGTCAAGAGGAAAACTGACCGACAGAAGCCTACTGGCGCGACCAAGGCGAATTCAACTCCGCTTTGATATATGCCCGTCTCGAATTTCTTCGGATTTCCCTCAAAAAAAAAAAAAATTTCTTCGGATTAAATAGTTTGAATTATTACAGAATTGATCACCAAATTTTTGGTAACTAACAAATAAGCCACTAAACCTTAAAACGGCGCCGCTTAATCATTCCAGTCGAGAGAAGAGAGAAGAAAATCCCTTTCTCGCGTAGAGCGAGCACTGTAAACGAAGTCTGGTCACCGGTGAAGCAGTAGAGACGGAGGGCTCAGTGGCCGACTATAAAACGGAGCGATGATGGAGGACGGCGAGATAGTGGAGGCGGTCGCCATGGACGAAGACTCGCAGCTGCTCAAGAATGGGAAGTCAGCCTACGACAGGCTTCGCGAAAGCAAAGCTTCAGTGGAGGAGATCGTCTCCCAGATTCTCTCCGTCAAAAAGGACGGCAACTCAAAATCCCAGCTCCGGGAGCTCGTTACTCAGACGTTTCTCCACTTTATCACCCTCCGCCAGGTCTGCCGCCGGACAAAAAAAAAACTCTCGGTTTTCGATCTCCTTTTGTGCTTTTTCTATCCGTCTAGGGTTTTGACTTTCGAACGGAAGAATTTTGTAGGCGAACAGGTCGATTTTGCTGCACGAGGATCGAGCGAAGACGGAGACGGAGAAAGCGAAGGCGCCGGTGGATTTCACGACTCTCCAGCTCCATAACCTGATGTATGAGAAGGGCCACTACGTGAAAGCTATCAAGGCTTGTAAGGACTTCAAGTCCAAGTATCCAGACATTGAGCTCGTCCCTGAAGAAGAGTTCTTCCGTGATGCACCTGAAGATATCAAGAGTTCCGTCTTGTCCAGCGATGGCTCCCACAATTTGATGCTCAAAAGGCTCAACTACGAGCTGCACCAGGTAAACGCGCAGCAGAATATATTCGATTTGGGGTACTGCAATACGCTTGAAGTGAGTTTTGGACATGGTGGCATTCTGATTGCGAAATGTTGTTGGTTGAAATCAGCGGAAAGAGCTCTGCAAGCTTCGGGAGAAATTGGAGTTACAGAAGAAAAGTCTTGCGGAGATGATTGCTAATAGGAAGAAGTTTTTGTCAAGTCTGCCATCACACCTTAAGTCCCTCAAGAAAGCATCTCTGCCTGTACAGAACCAATTAGGGGTTCTGCATACTAAGAAGTTAAAGCAGCATAGTTCAGCAGAACTGCTTCCTCCTCCACTCTACGTGATTTACTCACAGTTGGTGGCTCAGAAGGAGGCGTTTGGGGAAGAGATTGACCTGGAAATTGTTGGGAGTTTGAAAGATGCTCAAACATTTGCTCGTCAGCAAGCAAATAAAGAAAACAGTAATTCATAGCTTGACTCTTTTGCCAAGTCTTCTCTGAGCTAGCAGTTATAGTTTCATAACTTGTCTGTACTTTGCTGTGCATTTAGTGCTCTACAAACTTGCAGTAGCCTAAGAAACTGAATTGAGATGTTATTGTAATTGTTCAGGTGCTTCTGCAAATGTGGAGACTTTGAGGATTGAAGATGATGTACCTGATGATGAAGATGATGCCCAAAGAAGGAGAAAACGACCAAAAAGGGCACCTAGTAAGGAAAATCCTGATCTGGCAGGGGTTCATCAAGTTCACCCGCTTAAGCTCATTCTTCATATACTTGATGATGAGGCTTCTGATCCGAAGTCTGCAAAGCTCATTACTTTGAAGTTTGAATACCTGTTAAAGCTAAATGTTGTATGTGTTGGAGTAGAAGGTTCACATGAGGGAACTGAGAACAGCATTCTGTGTAACTTATTCCCTGATGATACTGGCCATGAACTTCCGCACCAGGTAAAGATATTCTCAGTTTCTTGTGGCATTCTTGCACTATTAGAAAGACATGATTCTCCTTTTGTTGATTGTTGGTTTATTTTCTAATATTGCTGTCATACTTTGGTTTCATTGCAGTCTGCAAAGCTCACTACCGGTGATAGTCTTTCCTTTGATGAAAAGAGAACTTCTCGTCCATATAAGTGGGCCCAACATTTGGCAGGGATCGATTTCTTACCAGAGATTGCACCGTTACTTGGTAGTCATGAAAATTCAAGTGGCGAAACGTCTAAAGCTGATGTTGTATCTGGGTTATCGTTATATCGACAGCAGAATCGGGTTGAGACAGTTGTCCAAAGAATACGCTCTCGGAAAAGGGCTCAGCTGGCTCTTGCGTGAGTCATTGTTTTTTATAGTTAGAGGGGTTTTGTGATCAAGGGCGTAGAATTGATAAACTTGAAAATCAACTGTATGTTGCTGGATGGCCAACTGGCCTAGTAGCTCTTAAACCCTAGATTGCCTGGCTTGCACTGGTTGTTGTGGCCTCTATTCAAATAAAGTTTTTCATATTATAAGACATGTTAATTGCTTCGCAATTTGAGTTTTCCTTTTCCTTGCATCCTCCCTTTGCTATGATTTATAAACTAATCAGTTCATTAATGAGTTTTTGTTTAAAGTTTGGAATTCTCTGTTTATTGTGGCTTACAGGGAGCAGCTTGGTTCACTTATGAAGCTAAAGTGGCCTCCTCTGAATTGTGAAAGTGTTCCTTGGGCTCTACATTCTTCTTTATGCAGTTTGGATGGTTGGTCATCAATAGGAACCCCACCTAGCCATCCTTCTTTACATACAGAGCAAGTTGAGGAATCCATGAATATTGACACCGATGGACGAACCGGCACTTCAAAGGGAGGGTTAGAAGGTGTGAGGGAAGATGGGGAGCTCCCATCTTTGCTTCAGGCTGGTTCCGCGATGGCAAACGATATGAAGCAGCTTACTTCTACTTCAAAGGTATCATCCAGTGCAGAGCAGTCTAGGCAGCTGACTTTGATCTCAAAGACTGTTATCTCCCCATTTAGCAAGGGAAAATCACATAGCTTTAAGAAATACGATGAGGATTTAGATCCGACTTTGGATTTTGATAGTGATCATGACGAGCTGGCCACTAATGAGCAAGATAACGAAGATATGGCTTCTATTCAACGCCTTGAACTATCCTTGGATTCTTGGGTTGATTTTGGTGCTAAAGAGTACTCCCTTGTCTTGGCAAGAGAACTGAGTGAAGGCAGAAATGTGAAGTTAGAAGCAAAGGTACTGTGAAGTTCTATGGATTACAAGCAAATGCTTCAGTAAGTTAAGAACCCTTTTGACATAATTGCCCTTGTCTGCCATGGCAGATTAAGATCAGCATGGAGTACCCTCTTAGGCCGCCTCTGTTCTCCGTGAACCTACTTACTTCAGAAGGAAGCCAAGATGAAGGCGACAATCGCTCTAGATCGTACAACGAACTTCGTGCAATAGAAGCAGAGGTGAGCAATTTTAAAGTCCTAGTTGAATGTATCTGGATGGATGTCAGAATATTTGGAGAAGGCTAATGTTTATCTTGTTGGGATTGATGATTTGTTAGGTGAACCTCAATATACTGAAGCTAGTGCCAAGTGATGAAGAAAACAACATCTTAGCCCATCAAGTTCGCTGTCTCGCCATGTTGTTCGACTATCTGATGGATGATGAAGCATCATCAGCAGGTGAAAAGAATACCCATGTGGTTGATGTTGGTTTGTCCAAGCCAGTCCGTGGTATGATTCTTGCCAGGTCATATAGAGGAAGGGACAGGAGGAAGATGATCTCCTGGAAGGACATGGATTCCACATCTGGCAACTTGTAGACAGAATCTAGGGTTTCCTCTTTCAGTTTCATGTTTGTTGTCCTTTCAGATTCGGCAAATGTTGTATTCTTTTGCGATTAAGCTCCAAATTAGAGACTGCAGGCTGAAAGTAATCTTATCATTCATGATCTAAATCGATAGAAAAACCAGAACTTTGGAAAAAGATTGATCAACATGTTTTCTTTTCTATTTCACTGTAATTCTCGACGATAAAAGATTCGATAGAGGGATGATAGTAGAACAATCACAAGGATAAGGGGATGAACAAGAAATAATTTACAGGCCAACAAAAACCCTCCCATCTTTTTTGTAACGGATATAAAGAAAGAAGGCCATGAATTTAATCAACTATTGGTCTGGTTAGCCTATGCACAAATCAGCTATAAACCCATGATCTGGAAACAACTTCCAAACTACAGACTACCATCCTCAGAAGATCATCTTCTCCCATGCACCAAAGCAAGAACCCTTCTCCCCTCTCCCTCCCAATCCTCTATGTAACAGAAAAACTGTTCACCATGGACCGGTCAGTGTTCGTCGCAAGCACCTCCTCTTCCCTCCATTCTCCATGCTCATCTTCTCCATCACCTGTTCCGCACACACCATCAAAACAAATTCCCAATGGATTAGAAAAAATGGCTAAAAGTGCATCTCCACATTGAAGGTCAGAAACTTTCAGAAAGGCACACCTGATTTTTCTGCACCTCCATGATTTTGTCCTGCAGCAAGCAAGCCAAAACCTCCATCATCAGCTAAGCTAAATAGGTTAACAGAGTGAAACAAGTTGATTCAGCAAAGCAAACAAAGGAACATAAAGATTAACCTGCTTCCTCCTAAGTTCATCATTCTCCTCTTTTAATTTTGCAACTTCTGCTTCCAACTCCATAGTGTAAGCCTGCAGAAACCCACCTGTTAAGCCTCCATGAAACAAGAACCTGTTGTTAGATTGTAAGATGTCTCATTACCTGCTTACGAGCACGCGACCTAGCAGCTGACTCTCGATTCTTGATCATCCTTCTCTGCCTCCTCTCAACCACCTTCTCCACTGTAGTATTAGGTCTCCTCCCCCTCATACTTCCATTAAACACATAAGGAACAGGTGACACAGAAGAAGTGTCCCCATTGCTCTTCCCTATCCCATCTGACGAAATCTGGCTAGCCGGTGAAACCATCCCACCTTGCATCAACCCATTAGCACCACCAATCCCCTGCAGTGACAGCCCATAACCCCCTCCATTATTAGCCTGCTTTGGAAAGATCTGTGGCAGCGGCGACCGCTGCTGCTGTACCTGTGATTGAACTTGATTTGATCTGACGCCACCATCCACATTCACATTCAAATGCAAGTTCGATGCCGGTTGCATCGAAATCGGATTAGCGTTACCATTACTACTAATCAAACCCACCATTCCAAAACCATTGTTAGTGCTGTTGTGATTGCTATTCCCTTGTCTAGACAAATCAGCAAAGAAACCACCAGCACCACCTCCATTGCTTTGCTGAACCTGCCCTCCTACTGCTACATGTGTCTTATCACTACTATTATCTTCTCTAACGACACCAGCTCTCGCCAGAAACTCCTCCAAGGTCATTTCCCCTAAGGTCTGCTGCCTTTGTGGGACAACCTCATTTTTCTCAGTAGCTGCACCACTTCCACTACCGTACTCCCTCCATATGTCCTTCCACACATCATCCACCGTCTTCTGGCTCAGAGTCCTGGGCAGGGTTAGCGACCCCTGCCGCTGCAGACCGTCATGTACCGGCAGCGCCGCCGCCATGTTCAGATTCTGATTCTCCTCCGCGCTCCATATGTTCTTGAGCAGCTCGTCCATATTCATCGACCCAAAGTCCTTCCCCGGAACACCCACCGTGCTTTGGAACTCGTCAAATGTCAAAGAGTATATTGATGACTGCCTCGCCAACGGGAAGTTTAACGGCGTCACCGGTTGCTGCTGCTGCCGGCCGGCGTCGGAGGAGGAAACGAAGTCGTTGGTGAAGTTCCTGAAATTCAAGTTCGTCCCCATTCGGACCCAACACGGTTAATTGAAGAGAATCTACAGAAAACCCTCTTCCAGGTCAGCTACAAACCAAGAAAATTGAACGACCCAGAAGAGCTCCGATTACAGAAAACCCAGCAAGGATTGAGCTCTGGCAGTCAAAATTGATCATAAACGCTTCTTACACAAACAAATTCGTACTGTTTGCATATCTTCGAAACGGCAGAGCTTGATTTGTGAAGTGGGTGAAAACAGAAACGGATCCAAGCTGATTGAGAAAAAAAGGGAAGAAACCCAGGAGAGCAGGAAAAGGAAAGGGGGAGATTGGTGATCAGTTGGATTCAATAATGTAAAGTCCACATTAGGAAAGGAAACGAGGCAAGGAAGCAGACGAATAAAAAGCCAAACAAACAAAGTTGTGGGCAATAGGTATTAGCTAAAGAGATAAGTGCGATGGACATGGAAAAGAAAGGCTACAGCTTTGACATTTTCGAATTAGTTTTCTCAAATTTTCTTCTGTGTTTTTGGGCTGAGAAATTCTCTGCTCTGTGTTTACTTTTTTTTTTGGTTGAACGGGAGCAAGCGGGGAAGCGCCAAGTGTCGGCTGCCTCTACTTGGATTTTTGCTACCTTTTAAGGCATGTAAAGGGTTATGTTTTTTTTTCTTTATTTTTTTAATTTTGGTGGGGAAGTGACTGATTAAAATTTAAAAAGGTAATTTAATTATTGAGTTTATTTAAATACTCTATGAATGGGCCAGCTGGGGGGGAGCCGTGGCCCAATGAGTAGAAGGGTAGGAAATTTTGGCGTGACCTGCTGCCACTGTCAGAGTGCAAAGTGTAATGATCTGTACCGTCCACGTTGCTTAATCTGGAACCGTTGGATTGCAGTGATTGAGGCTTGTTTCGTTTCGCCGCATATCTTTGCCTCTTGGAGAGGTGTTTGTTTGAAACTGTTGCTTTATTATGTTTGGACAAAAATGTCAATATACAACAAATATATATACATATATAGAAATATAAGCCTCTGTCTTGGTGTTTACACTGTACGATGTCGTTTTGAACCTGCATACGGAAAATCCAAAGTTCAGCGATAAACTAATGATGATTTTGAACGTGATTACAGGATTTTGTGTAAGATTAGGGTGGTGGACTGGAGCGAGCCCGTGGGGAATAATAGTTGATTAATAATAAGATTAGGAAAGAGCGGTGCGGATTAAGGAATGGCAGGATCCCACGCGCTTACTATAAATGTGAGGGGTGGATCTGGCGGTGAGAACGACGCGCAGGGGAGAATTTGGTTTGGGAGAGGATGGCAAAGAAATAAAAGAAATGGAGAAGGTAGGGATTAGATAGACAGATTGCGCAAGAAGGGAATGGAGAAGAAAGGAAAAGAAGGGAATATGAAGATGATACAAGGCATATTCCAACTAACCAACTCTTTGTAGAGGGATAAGGATTTTAAATAATACGGATTGTTCGCTTTTTTGTTTTTTCAATATTAGTCCAAAAGGTCAAGTGCACATTTTGGGTACTACTGCTTAGAATGGGTGATCTTGATTTTATTATTTAAAACAACTTCCCCGGCATTTTATACGAACACCAAATCGGGTCGTTTGGACGAGATAATTTGATGAGTTTCGAAACAATTTGTTGGACAAAATTAAAATAGAATGTGATATTTTGTCCATAAGCCAATTGGAATAACTCGTTTTGAGTTCTTTGAAATATCTAGTCACTTCCAAATTTATTTCAAATAACTCATCTCCCCACCTCTTCTTTCACTCTGTCCCTTCTCTAAGTGTTGAAACACCACAATATTTTATTTTTCTTTTATCCAAACAAACAGGATAATTAGACCCAATTACCACATTCCAAACTAAAATACCACACGAAATATCGCATAGCAAAATAATGCGACATTTTGAAGATTTTTTTTTTTAGAGAATTGCGACATTTTGATTTGAATTACCACATAACCAAAATGATGCATCAAAACGACCCGCTAGTTATTCTACGGATAAGATAATTAAAATCGGGTATGTCATTCGAAAATTACTACAACATTTTCCTATTCTTTTCTATCTCTCTTTGGTTTGAAGACGTGGATGTCACTGTTTTTTTATCTTCTTCATTGTCGTTCTTTCTTCTTGAGGAGAACCTATTTAAAATTTAGTCTAGCTCCTACCAGAGATAACAGGCCAGATACAACATTTGCACAAATAACAATTTATCTAATACGTGAAAGCATGTACAAACTCCCCGTAATTAACTCATGAATTCTCTCACAAACCTTGCCTATCCTGTCACATTGTTTTTTTTTTTAAGGGTGAATGCATTAAAATAACCGAGAAAGAGAGAAGAGTACAGTACAGGAGCCTATCCTGTCACATTGTAGAAGGTCTCGTTTCTAATTTCTGCAGTATAGAACTGTCAATGAGACTTACCCTAACCACTAGTAAAGTGTATGTTTTTATGTTTTAACCAAGAATGGAGATACTGCTACTTTTTTATTGGCGATCTGTCAACAATTTTTGTCATCTATCTTATCTCTTTGACTAATGAACGCGTCTAAATTGAGCTAAAAGGTTGTCGTTTGAATGGATCAATCTAGAAATGAGTCAATTTGATCAATTGTCTCGTTTTATAAACGAGGCAATTAAAACCAGTCAATTCGAATTACCTGCCCCCACCCCAGGTAATTGAAATTGACTCAAAACGGATCAATTGAAAATACCTCAGGCAGATTGATCCATCCAAATTTTTTACTGACAAACGAGCCAATTTGGTACAATTGTCTCAAAACGAGACAATTGTGTGAAATTGATCCGTTACAATTCCTCATCCAAACGACTCAAAATGGCTCCATATATACACACTTGAAGGGAGAAGATTGCCTTAGGAAAGTCACAAAGATCCCAAGAGTCAACAGATGAATAACGAATTGAAGGGAATTACAGATGCAAAACGACACAAACAGTGCAGTAAGAAGAGAGAGGATTAATTCCCTAAATACACATAAAACTAGCGTGGCCCCGGCCATTTGGCTGGATGAAGGTGACGTATGAAATTTGATAATGTAATGGGGTGTATAGCTTATTGTTGTATAGTTTTTTTTGGGAAACGCGTGATAAAAATAGTAAATTTTAGTAGGAAAGAGACATGAATGATGCAACGAATCAAAAATCAGCCTTACGAACCAAAATCAAGTACATGTTACCTTGTGAAACAATATTGTTTCTGGTAATATGATGAGGTGGAGTAAGTTTTATAGAAACCGAATTCCAGAAAATCGAATAAAAAATCGCCTATCCTGCCGGTTTTCGGGAAATGAGCATCTCGCAATCGTTGCTAGCTTTTACTCGGCCCGTTGGCCGATTAATTTGCTTTATAAAACTTTCGTCTTGTCATCATTGTGCTTTCTGGTTTTTTGCTAAGCCATGATAAAATCTAAAGAAATCAAGAATGAACAACACGATTTGGGATAGGCACCGTTCCTGTATCCCTAGAAAATGATGGTAAACACGGACTCACCTGCCAAACTGGTTTGGATTGAGATTTTTATCGGGTATCAGGAAACCATGTGATTATAAATTAGACTTGATCAAAATGGGCATAAACTTGAAATTCAGCCTGTTTGACGGACCCATGTCAAACTCTAATTTTTCTTTACTTTTAAACTTTCTATTTGAAAATAAAAATAATTAAAGAAAAGAGATGACGACAATTCGTCATTTGCACATCACTGATTCGGGAATAAAACTATAGAATTTCGAAAGGAAACTGAAAATATTTAGGATCATTTTAATGTTAAAAATAACCAAATAGATCTTTATGTTTAGTTTTTTACTAACAAATACCAAAAGATTCCCTATAATATACACTATAATTTAATCATTATGATATCAAATAATTACATAATATATATTTGAAATGATAAAAATTGGACTAATTGGGTTGGTCGAGGTTGAACCATTGAATTACTTTAAAATACATTATATTTTAGCCACTAAGATATAAAATAATAGCATAATATATATTATGCTAGAGAAAATAGCTTATTTTAGAAAGGCAAACCCATGATGTTCATTTGTTTTACTTTATGGGCAAATCCCGTGTAGGTCAGGCCCATTCAACTCTTTTATTTTATGATTAGCGGTTAGCCCATTAGAATCCATGTATTAGTTTATTGTTAAATTTTTTTCTTTTAAGCAATAAAAAGGAGTATTGTTTTTGCCTTTTCATATATATTTTATCACCACGGAGAAATAAAAGGACTCAAAGAAAAAAATTGATACTCCTGGATCCGTTTAAATTCGGACGTGTACGGTAAGTTGGCCCGTTCCACAGAGGAAAAAGAAAAAATTGACACTCCCTATTCTACCCTTCCTACAAACGCTCCTGGAGCAGGGAATTTGAAATGGGGGAACGGTTTTTTCCTCTCTGCGATTATATGTTTTTAATTTAAAAAGATATAACAAATGTACTTAGTGTGATTGGTTATGATCTTTGTTTTTCTTTAAAGTGGTCATGGTTCGAATCTTAGTAAGTGTCTTTTTAATGAATAAAAAAAAAGTAATTGTGAAGACCAAAACAAATTCCTGAATGGAGGAAATTTGAAATGGGGGTTCAAGTTTTCTCATTTGATTTTTATTTATTGTATAGACTAAAACAAATTCCTAAACTAGCACACTTATAAAAAAAAAATTCTCAAAATACCTAAGTTTGAAGTGGTTCGAGTTCAGTGAACTCGAACCAATCCTTTGAAATTCCAACAACCTTAACTTTGTTGGACTACAACTTTTTTCATTTCGCATAACTTTTCGAGGACTACAACTTTTAGGGTGTGCCTACGGTGACATGCATGTCACGGTGACTTGCATTTTCCGGTAGACCTCAGTTATGATTAGGTCGACCTCATTTAGAATTCAGTCGACCTCATATAGGATCTGGTCGACCTAATCTGTTGTTTCAGTGTAAAAACAGTTCATGGTGCCTACTTTGGATATTCATATCATACAATTGGCTAGATGGAAATTGAAGACTAATGACTTGTTTTGAAGCTGGAGTGTCCCTTTACATATTGAAGTGGAAGAGAGCATGATAGGAAGTTCAGAAGACCATTTTTGAACCTCATCAAAAGACTATGCCAAAACTGGGAAACTGCCTAGAAATGGCTAAGTCTGGAAACGTGTTTGTGAAGCCTATTTTGGAGCTCAATTCGAGAAGCATGAATGCGAGTCGAGTCCAGGAGCCTCTACCACGTTAAATTAGGTATGTTTTTATAAAAATTCAAGGCACTGTAAGGCTTCAAACAAAAGGGTCGAAGTTGCTACGAAGGCTGTTTTTCTGGCAGACTTCGAGCACAAGCAAGCGAGTTTTTTTTTTTTTGTGTCATAGAAACCCTTGCGGATTAACTAGGTAAGCACGAGAAAGCCACAATACAACGGC